CCAACACTCAGGAGGCAGAGGCAGGCGGATGGATCTCTGTGAGTTTGAGGCCAACCTGGTCTACAGAGTGAGTTCCAGGACAGGCTCCAAAGGTACACAGAGAAATTCTGTCTCGAAAAACAAGAAAGAGAGAAAGGAAGAAGGAAGGAAGGAAGGAAGGAAGATTGATGAAAGAAAAAGAAAGAAAAAAAGAAGGAAGAAAGGAAGATTGATGAAAGAAAAAAAAAAGAAAAAAGAAGGAAGAAAGGAAGGAAGGGAGGGCGGAAGGAAGGAAGGAAGGAAGGAAGGAAGGAAGGAAGAAAGCAAGAAAGAAAGACAGATTGATGTCACTGTTGTCCCCTCCAGGAATTCCAGCCACTGGAGCCAGTCTGATTGACTTCACTCATGAAAGCCTCATGAACCAGATCCAAGCAGCTGCATCTTCGAGTGGTAAATGACCCAAGAGCTGCCTACCAGCATCTCAAGAGTGCTGACTGTTGCCTTGTATGCAACGGCGCTCCCATTCTGTGAACACTGCAACAAGGAGCTCCCTCAATAGGTCTGACATAGTGAATGCTGGCCCCAAAATTCTGTACATTCGTATCAATAGATCCTGCTTGGGACCTATACAGCAGTGTGGAAGGTCGCGACCCAAACAGGGGTCATATATCAGATATTTACATTACGGTTCATAACAGTAGCAAAACTACAGTTATGAAGTAGCAACAAAATAATTTCATGGTTGGGGGTCACTGCAACATGAGAAACTGGATTAAAGGGTCGCAGAGGACAGTTGAGAACCCAGTGATCTATGGAGTCCCTAAGGAGGAGAAGCAGTAACAATGGCAGAGCTACACCCAGGAGGATTTCAAGGTGAATGGACTGGGCCAGTCTCTGAGTTGACTGCTGCTTAGCCTGAGGTAGGTTTGGAGTCCTGCAGGTGACCTCTGTGCCTATATAATCTAGTTCCTGCGGAGAGCAGCCAGCCAGGGAACACTAGTTTGAAGTTTCTGATGCCGAGAGCCTGAATGGGCAGGCACAGCCGCTGAATGAGCCTATGTCTACTACAAACACTTCACCAAAGAATATGGAAGGAGGGGGCTGGAGAGATGGCTCAGCAGTTCAGAGCACAGACTGTTCTTCCAACGGTCCTGAGTTCAATTCCCAGCAACTACATGGTGGCTTACAACCATCTTTAGTGGGATCTTATAAGCCTCTTCTGATATGTAGGTGTACATGCAGATAGAGCACTCACATACATAAATCTTTTTTTAAAAAATGGATGTAAAATACCAGTTTAGAAAAAAAAACACAAAAGCATCATTGTTTATTGTGTAGGTAGAAAATAAACACAAAATGGCATATATATATATATATATATATATATATATATATATATATATCCTGTTCAGTCAGTTCAGGATAGAGTACATTGCTTATTTCCTGAAAGGAACCTTTCTCACTTCCTAAACACAACTCTTGCCCATCCATTGAAGGCAACCAATATTCCCTCTGTATCTATCTTTATACTTTTTTGTTGTTGTTTTTGAGACAGGGTTTCTCTGTGTAGCCCTAGCTGTCCAGTAACTCAGAGATCGCCGGCCTCTGCCTTCTGAGTGCTGGGATTCGCGGCGTGTGCCACCACCGCCTGACTATTCCTAGCTTTATACTCCTTATATCGCTTTTCCCTCCTTATCCCTTCAATTGGGTGGATGGCAGGGTTCCACCGGAGTCTTGGCTTCTACAAGCCACATTGCTTGCAACTGGCTTTCAGGTGACAAGTGACCCCATAGGCCAGATTGCCTTTCGGTACCCTCCAGAACCAGTTAGCGGCAACTAAGATCAGTCTTACTCTGTATTTAGCGCACAGCAAGAACAGACTTCCTATGCGGTGGGTAAGAGCTCCACCTACTGGCCCCTTCAGTAACTGCAGTTTAAACTGGTTCTTCAGAGAGCTGAAAACTCACCTTTAGAATAATTGTTTCCCGGCAATTCAGTCGTGTTTGGGTCACGAGTATTATTCTGGGGCTGAGAACGTGACTCAGCTGGTGCTAACCTACTACTGTTCATGAGGCCTTGGCTTTGATCTCCAGCACCACATAAAACGTGCTACATTGCACTCTAATCCTAGAACTCAGGAAAAAAATTCTTTCTCAGCTACAGTGAGTGAGGCCTGAGTTACATGAGATCCTGTCTTTTTTAGTTTTGTAGACAAGTGTGCGACACCACCATTAGGCTAGACCCAGTCTTTAAAAAGAAAGTGTGGTTAATTAAAGACACTTTGTCTGACCCTGGGGACCCAATGCAAACCCCCAGGGCCCACATGGTGGAGAAAACTGACTCATAGCTGTCGTCTGACCACACGTGCACGATTGTGGTGTCCCCACAAACTTCATGTATGTATGTGTTCCACATTCATGCCTGGTGCCCAAGGTCAGAATAGGCCTGGATCCTCTGGAACTGGGGTTGTGAACCACTCGCCATGTGGGTGCTGGGAATTGAACCCCAGTCCTCTGCAGAATAAGTGTTTTAAACTAATGATCCATCTGTCCAGTTCCAGTAAGTGAAATTTTAAAAAAGGTTTTATAGGGGCTAGAGATGGGTCAGCGGTCAAGAGCACTGGCTGCTCTTCTACAGGACCTGGGTCTAATTCCCAGCTCACAACTATGTGTTACTCCAGTTCAAATGGATCAAAACCCTCACACATACATGCAGTCAAAACACCAATTACACAATCTAAAAAGAAAAAAAATTAAAAATGTTCCATAGTCAGACTAGCCATGATGAGAGGGAAGAGGACCTTAAGTTTGAGGCAGGCCTGGGCTGAGAGACACCCTGTCTAGTACAGAGCAGGGAGGAAAAAAGGGAAGAGGCAGGGGAAAGAAAAGATTTAGTTTTTGTTTTTTCAAAACAAGGTTTCACTATGTAGCCCTGGCTGTCTTGGAACTCTGTAGATTAGGTTGACCTCGAAGATACACCTGCCTGTCTTCTCAGTGCTGGGATTAAAGGGGTACAACACTATTGCCCAGCTGTATTTTCTTTAAACAGCCTCGCACAATGTGGTATTGTCTAACCTGAAACTTTTTGTAGACAGCTAAGCTAGCTTTGAACTCTGCCTCTGCTGGAATTAAAGGTCTACACTACTACACCAAGACCAAAATAAGGCCTTTTCTTTTTGTGCAACAGGGTTTCTCTGTGAAGCCCTGGCTATGCTGGTTCTTGCTCTGTAGACCAAGCTGCCGGTCTACCTCCTAAGCGCTGACATTTTAATGTAAAAATCATTTAGCCCCTAAATGCAAATGCAAAAAGCACGGGCTAGGTGTGGTTTATTGGCCATCTTGTGAATTCCCAACTGAACAGTGCAGGAGCTGAACTAAAGACTGAAGAGCTAAGCACAGTGGACACCATCTTTAAAATAAACGGGGCAGGGGCTGAGCCTAGCAACTGAAAAGTGTCTAGGGCTGAGAAGTCTGGGTAAGATCTGGCAAACTGCTGCCAAGAAACCTCCCAACAGGTCCCAAGCCTGCCTCTCGTTCTGCTGTGCAGAGCTGAGGCCTTACACCCACAAAAATAACTCTGAGCACGTCATAAAGCATCCAGTTTATTGTTTTGTAATGAGACGCAGACAGCAGCACATCCCTTCCTCAAGGAGCTGCCACAGAAAGGCAGATCTAACAAGTCATCAGGCGACTGTGGATCTCAACACGGAAGGCCGCTCTTGACATCTTCCTCTTCATCCGTGAAACTCGGGCCTGTCCTCACCACGTCAGATCTTCCTTCCCTCCCTCGTGCCAGCTGAGGTCTGTCAATGGTCTCACTTCAAGTCTTCATCATCTACTCCCTTGACCCATGAATCTCTCTGCTCATTTATGTATTTAAAGCATTAGGGATCAAACTAGGGGTCTCATGGATGCTTGGCAAGCGGACTATCCAAGATATGCCTCCCAGTGCTCCCCATTAGTCTGCATCAGTAACTCCACAGCTAAGGTACTAACAATTAGTCCAGAAGATGAACTTAAGACACAATCACTCCCCGGTACCACCCAAGATGAAACGATCCGTTCAGATGCCTCTAACCTCCCTGTTCTCCAGCCGGCGTCTGTAAGATTCCTCCACGCCTCACAAGTTTCCCGTGATGTGCCCACTGTAAACTACTAGACATTGAGGGCTGAGGATTTTGTTTGAATCCACCATTTCCATTTCCTTGACCGGTGGTTTTCAACCATGCAGAAATTAATTACACCAATTTCGTGTCACCACTGTTACCAAGACAGAATTAAGCATTGTCATTCAGTTCTTGATGATGTTAAAAACAAATACAGTCATGAACTTAGAATACATAGCAGTAATAGTCAAGTTGTTGAAAATGCTTTTCAATGTCAGAAAAGCTTGCTCTGAAATTAAAACCAAGATGAACTGTAAACATGTAATAGTAAACTACTGAAAACAAAATACTCAAGAGTTATATTCACACCACACAAATTCTGCCTATTAACTCCCACCCCCAGACATGGTTTCTGTGTAGCCCTGGCTGTCCTGAAACCCAGAGATCTACCTGCCTCTGCCCCCCAGGTGCTGGGATTAATGGCGTGCACCACCACTGCCTGTCATTTTATAGGCTGTTATATTCCAAGAACAGCAATTTTATCCCCAAAAGCTGGCAGATATATGCTGGCTTCTGAAAGCATCAATCTCAGTGCCCGCTATTTTCTGCTTTTTGAGCAAAGGAAGAGTAAAATGTGGATGTGTGCACTCACACATGAGTAGAATCCTCCAGTGAGACACTATTTTTTTTGGTTTTATGATAGGGTTTTATCTGTAGTTTTGGAGCCTGTCCAGTAGACCAGGCTGGTCTCAAGCTCAGAGACCCACCTGCCTCTGCCTCCCGAGTGCTGGGGATTAAAGGCATGGCCACCACAGCATGGCTGAGAAAAACCTTTACCATGTGACATTTTGCTATGTCTCAGGCAATAGCTAAGACATGAATCTGTAGAACTGACCTCTGAAAATCACAACAAAAATCTGTACGAAATGATTTAATATAAAATATAAAACTTCTCAGTATGAAGACCCCCAGAACAGGAAGGCAACGACAACACTCAAAAACAAACCCACACAAAGAGGAACATAAAAGGCGACAGTCAGAATCTGCTCAAAACCGTCCTTGCCGAGACCCTCCCCTAACAACACCGAGTCTCTGGTCCACTGGAGGTGACAGGCCAGTCTCCCAACATCACCTTCCTTTTCTAGATGGCCACAGGTCATTCACTATCAAACTTGACGGAATTGACCTGGACAGAGATGGAGCCTCCCCGGTAGCTGCCCCGCTTTTTCTTCGTTTTTTCATGGCGGAAGGACTTGCCTTTGGTGAACTTCAGAACCTGATTGGCTCGCTCACCCCAGTCTCCAGCTGCCCCTCGCTGGTAAACAATGAAAGGTTAATACACAGAAGACAACACCAAAGCCCTGTCACCTCCCCTGTCCCTTCAAGGCAATCTGAATCCACAAGGTTCCAGCAACCTAAACCCAACCGCCCTTCTCTCCCATGTCCCGAGAGCGGCCAACACCCCTCACCTTGGCATCAAAGGAATTGTCTGCTACTCGTGAATCCACCTCTATCTCCTCTTCCCTGACCCTTCGGAATGGGGACGATGCCCTTTTTTCTGCCTAGAGAATGAAGCATAAGTTACGATATGGTGCTGATTGACAGCCCGTGGTGTCAGGCCCAACTGTCAAGGTGGGTCCCAGGGTTTCCTCTATGGTTTAAAGGCGGGTTCTGAAGACACTGTGGAACAACGTACTTTCTTCCTTTTTGGAAACGTGTTTGGAGTCTGGAGCTTAACTTTCTTAGCTTGAGGAGGAGTCTCTGCTTCTTCTGCTGTCTCATTCTGCTTTCGTTTCTTTCCTGAACCTACAAAACAAAAGCCAGACTCAAAAGTCAGGGGGCAAACGACTCCCCGTCTACCTTCTCCACTGAGTATACTCAGTAATGGAGGATAAAACCCAGGGGATGGCTCTATAGATACAGACCTGGCTTTGAAACCGACACAGCTGCCTTTTTCATCTCCTCCTCTTCCTCTTCCTCCTCCTCGCTTTCCCCGTCTGCTTTTCCGTTCTGAGAAGCTCGAGTGCCATTGGCCTTGCTGGCCTGTGGTTTAGTAGTGCCCTTGCCCTTGGGCTTCTCCTCCTCTTCCTCCTCACTGGAGTCTTCGGAGGAGCTGCTGCTCTCGGCTGCTGCTTTCTTCACGGCGGCGGCTGGTTTGGATGCGGTTTGACCTCCTGCTGCCTTCTTAGCTGGAGGCTTAGGTGTCTTCTCTTCATCACTGCTGGAGCTGTCTGAGTCGGAGCTGCTGTCTGCAGCCTGAGGAGCCTGCTTGGTGGGCAGAGATGGTGCTGCTTTAGCAGCCACCTTGGGCTTGGGGGTTGTCACAGTTTTCTTTGTCGTCTCCTCCTCGCTGGAGCTGCTCTCCTCCTCGCTAGAGCTACTGTCAGCCTTTCTGGTCTGAGGTTTCTGGCCACTGCCTGCAGGTTGCTTAGGAGTTACAGCTGCCTTAGCTGCAGATGGCTTGGGAGTGACAGCTGACTTGCTTAAGGAATTCTTGGTGGTACTGACCGGCTTGGCAGGAGTTTCATCCTCAGAACTGTCAGAATCTAGATAAGAGGACAGAATGAACAGCTCCCCAAAAACAAATTCAGGGGAACCCCATAACAGCAGGATACCCAAAACAATGAGTATCCCAGGGACCCCAGGGTTGGGCAGCATTACCCGAGCTGTCTGAAGAGCTCTCTGCTTTCTTCTTCACTGGAGCGGGTCTGGCAGGTGTCTTGGAGAGGACTGCTTTAGCAGGGGTTTTTTTCTCTTCCTCAGAACTTGAATCTGGGGAGAATTTGTGACATTAGGATAGGTCCAGAATTGCAAGCCAACCAAGAAAGTAATGGAAATAACGTAACAATTTACACAGTCCTTGGCTTTCTCTTGCATCACTCAAAAGCAACAGAGGTGTAGAGTATTTTTCTCTGTGTTCCTTGCCCCACCCCTGTAGCTCCACCGCATCCTGGGACTCACCAGACTCCTCACTGCTGTCCTCACTGCTTTCTGCAGGCTGTTTCTGCACGGCAGCTTTCTTTGGAGACTGGGTTCCCAAGGACTTCTTTTGCAAGGGAACAGAAGGTGGTGGGACTGAACTGTAAGGACCTGTTTAAAAGGTAGAATAGTTTTGAAATATGCATTTGCTAGGCACGGTGGTTCATGCCCGTAATCCTGACATTCATAAGGCTAAAGTAGGAAGAACACTGTAAATTTGACGTCAGCCTGGGCTACAGAGGGAAAATATTTCAAGTAAACAATAAAACAGGGCCTGGAGAGATGGCTCAGAGGTTAACAGCATGGCTGCTCTTCTGGAGATCCTGAGTTCAATTCCCAGCAACCACATGGTGGCTCACAACCATCTGTAATGAGATATGGTGCCCCCTTCTGGTGTGTAGGTATACATGCAGGCAGAGTGCTGTACCCATAATAAATAAATCTTTAAAACAGACAGGTAGCAGAAATAATAAGATATCCACACAGAATTGTATCTTCTAAGAACAAAACCTGCCTAACATGCATAAAGTCCTAGGTTTAATCCCTAGCACCACAAAATAAAATGAGTACTTCAATTCTTTGGTTCTCTCTACCTAGAAACAGGGCTTACTCCCTTTAGCAGAATTTCTACCAGGGTGTCACTCTTAGCTGTGGAGCCATGAGAACCATGCACAGGGGGTTCGACAGCCTCATGCCTTGTGTCCAATCACCTGGTTTTTTCTTCACGGGCTTTTTCTGTTCTTCCTCTTCACTAGAAGACTCTTCACTGCTAGAGCTCTTCTGGGTAGGGGTGGCAGCTACTTTTATTGGTGCCTTGGCCATGACTTGCTTTTTAGGTATAGTCTGCATCTGAGAGAAAAATTTACATTAGAGGAAAATAACTTTCCAAATAATTCAATCAGGCTGAAGTAATGGCACACAACTTTGATCCCAGCACTTGAGAGGTGGAAGCGGGTGGAGTTTGAGACCAGCCTGGCCTACTTAGTATCCAAGACAGTCAGGGCTATAGAAAAACCCTGTCTTGAATATCAAGCGAAAATAAATAAAAACAAACAAACAAATCGAAACCCACAAGTCACTCCAATCGGAGAGACACCCTGTAGCTCCTTCACTTCACCCTTGGCAGTCACAACCCTGACCTTGGGGGGTGGTGCTGCCTTCTCCTCCTCGGAGTCTTCACTGCTACTATCACTGCTGCTGCTGCTGCTGGCTGCTTTGCCATTGGTTGCTTTAGGCTGTGCTCTTGCTGGTGAACCTGAGACACAAAGCCATATTGAGATAAATTGGGAGACTTCAAAAAAGCTCCTGTTAGCACAGAGTTAAGAGTCTCTAGCAATTTTAAGGCTAGCGAAATGGCTCAGTGGATAAAGGCACTTGTCACTAAGCCAGAACTTGAAGCCTAGTGGGTACATGGTAAAAGGAGAACCAATTCTTTAAGCTGTCCCTCCTCTTAAGCTCCATGTGCACGCTGTGACATGTACAGATACACCACACAGACAATAAGCCACTTCAACATCACTGTCTTTCTCTTCAACCTCTATTCACAGATCTTGTAAATCCTAAGTCAGCCCACATCTTAAGAAACAACTTACTTGTTTCATGGAGTAAGAGCAGCAGTGAAAGCAGCAAAGAACCATAGACTGTGAGTATTGCTCAGAGGGAATAAAGTACTTATCACACACACAGCCCAGCTAGGGCGTCTCGTCAGGTTGAGAGTAGGCATGTGCCACTATGCTGAGCTAAGGAATGCTAATTAGTCCTGCCCGTGAGAGCCTGAGACAGGAAGATCACAAGTTTGAGGCCACTGGACTACAGTGAGTACTAACTTTACCCAAGGAACAAACAAAATAAATGTGTGTAACACCCCCCCCCCCCCCCACACACACAACCTTAGCACTTGGAAGCAGAGGCAGGAAGATCAAATACAAGGCCAGCCTGGGCTTTTAAACTTTTTTTTCTCTCATAAATAAAAATTAAGGGGCTGGAGAAATGGCTCAGCAGCTAAGAACCCAACTGCAGTTCCCAGCACGCACATCACGCAGGTCTTAACAGCCTCTAATGCACCTCCTCTAGCTCCAGAGTCCCAGAGTCCCCTGTATTCATATGAGGCATGCTCACGCACACATTTTTTTTTTAAGTCAGGGTTAATCACATAGGTCTGACTGTCCTGGAACTTGAAGATCTGCCTGCCTCTGTCTCCCAAGTGCAGAGATTAAAGGCATGCCTTACTATACCTGTCTAAAAGTTCTTTTTAAAGTCATCTATCTTTCTCCCTGGGTTTTATAATCATGTATCTGTAATTCTAGCTATCAAGAGACTGAGACAGGACGACCTGGAACTCAATTGCTGCTTAGCCCTTTAGTAAAGAAAAACTAATCAGTCCAAGGATGGTATGGGTTGCTACGCCAAAAGTAAATTTTAAAAAATCACAGCACTTGGGAGGCAGCGTTCAAGGCCAGCCTAATCTGCAAAGCAAGTTCAAGGACAGACAGAACTGTTACAGAGAAACTTTGTATTTGGCCCGAATTACAGCAATTGCAGTTCAGCTGCAGGGATTACAGGAGCATACTATGCCTGAGCACACTATGCATGTGTGTAGTATTGAGGACTAAACCCAGGGTCTCACACATTTGAGGCAAGTACCCTCCCACAGACTTATCACAAGTACTAGAATAATTACCAGTCTCACATTCCCCTTCTAAAACTTTGAGACAGGGTCTCAGTAGGTTTTCCAGGCTCGCCTTACACTTCCACTCCTCCTGCTTCCCTTTTCTAGGTAGGTGAGATGAAAGCCCTTTCCAGTCATGACCAGCCAAAGAGGAGATGAACAACGTCATTTGGCAACCATACCATTTGACCCTGGTCCCAGCCTACCCTCCTGGGGACAGAAATACCTGGCTTGGCTGAGGCTTTCGGCTGAGCTTTGGCTGCCGTAGCTGTCTTTAGCTTCTGGGTCTGCGGTGTTTCATCCTCCGAGCTTGAGTCAGACTCGGACTCCGAGCTCTTGGCTTTCTTAGGAGGAGTTCTGACTGCCTTGGCTTGGGACTTAGCTACCTTCTGCTAAAACAAAACAAAGATGATGGTATATGTCTTTAATTGAAACAAGTAGGAGGTAGACAGGTGGATCTCTGAGTTCAACATCAGCCTGATCACAGAAAGTTCCAGGACAATCAGTGCTATACAGAGAGACCCTATCTCAAACAAAACCCCACAAAAATAGGACTGGAGAGGTGGCTCAGAGGTTAAGAGCACTGGCTGCTCTTTCAAAAGTCCTGAGTTCAATTCCCAACAACCACAAGATGGCTCACAACCATCTGTAATGTGATCTGGTGCCCTCTTCTCGTGTGCAGGCAGAACACTGTATACATATTAAATAAATATGTCAGGCAGTGGTGGCACACACCTTTAATCCCAGCACTCAGGAGGCAGAGGCAAGCAGATTCCTGAGAGTTTGAGGCCAGTTTGGTCTACAGAGCAAGTTTCAGGACAGGCTCCAAAGCTACAGAGAAACCGTTTCAAAAAAAAAATTCCTAGAATGTATCCCTTACTGAACAGCTCCCATCACCCCAACCATAAGCTAGATGCCCAGTTTAGGTTCATTGCCAAATTCTATTTATTTATTTTTGTTTGTTTGTTTGTTTGTTTATGCCTGAAGACCAGAAAAGGGCACCAGACCTCATTACAGATGGTTGTGAGCCACCATGTGGTTGCTGGGAATTGAACTCAGGACCTTTGGAAGAGCAGGCAATGCTCTTAACCGCTGAGCCATCTCTCCAGCCCCTCATTGCCTAATTCTTTTGAAGTCCTCTTTACAAGGAAAGCTACAAACCTGGACAGGCTTCTTCTTTTTGTTGTCTTCTTCCTCCTCTTCATCACTGGATTCTTCACTACTGCTGCTCTCTGAAGCTTTGGCTACTGCCTTCCCAGCATGCTGAGGCAGACTGGTTCGCTTGGCAGGGACAGCTGAATAGAAGTATAGGTACCCACAAGAATCACCATGCTGTGCAGGCAGGCGTCAGATACTCTCCCTGAAGCCCCGCCCCGCCCCCCCCCCCCCCCCCTCTGCCCCGCCTTACCAGCCTTCTTCGCTGGGGGTGCTTGGGCTTTATCTTCCTCCTCACTGCTGTCCTCACTACTGTCACTGGACGAAGCCTCCTTTTTAGCCTTCTTGGTCACTGGCCCATTTGACTGTAATTTCCTCTTTGGGGCTTTGGTGGACCTACTGATTTAGATCAGGCATACTTCTAAGGGATCAGAACCTTCTCAAAAAAAGGGAACACAGCCCAGCCCACCTAGGGGGAGAAAATAGCCCAAATGTAGCAAGGAAAGCTTACTTGAGCCAGAAGCTATAGATGTCCAAGAGGGAAGAAGCATTGGCATCTTGCTGTGTCTACAAGAACAGAGGCCAAATTAAAGAAATGTCATGATTCTATGTTATTCTTTCATCAAGACCTGTCTGGTTATAGGACATAGAGTTATAGGACAGCCAGGGCTTTGTAAGAAGACCCTGTCTCAAAAAAAAAAAAAAGTTATGTTATTTACTTACTCAACTTGAAATGGATGCATAAGATTTCCCCAGCTTAGTTCACTTACATATCGCCTAGCTTTGAGCATAAAAATGGGCTTCCTCTGATAGATAATCTGCTCCCAAGCCTTTCCAACCATACTTTTCAAAGTCTTAGAAAGATTTCAGCAATTAATAATGTTGATAAAGAATATTAACTGAGCTGGTGGAGAGCCAGCTAAGTGGTTAAGAGAACACACTGCCTTTCTAGAGGACCTGCGCTCATTCTCCACCAGCCACCAGGAGACACACAACTACCTGTTAATTCCTGATTCGGGGGTTCTGACATTACTGGTTTCTGCAGGCACCTGGACTAATGTTCACCACTGCAGGCTTAATTCTCTCTCTCTCTCTCTCTCTCTCACATTCTTTTTTCCAAGACAGGGTTTCTCTGTAGTTTTGGAGCCTGGCCTGGAACTAGCTCTTGTAGACCAGGTTGGCCTTGAACTCAGAGATCGGCCTGCCTCTGCATCCTGAGTGCTGGGATTAAAGGCATGTACCACCACTGCCTAGCAATTAATTGACTTTTTAAAAGGTATGAGGTGTGGTGGCACACGCCTTTAACCCTAGCACTTGGGAGGGAGATAGGAAGATCTCTTGCCTTTGAGTTAACTTGGTCTAAATAGTGAGTCCCAGGACAGGCACAGTTATATAGAGATCCTGTATGAAAGAGAGAGAGAAGGGAAAAGAGGAAGGAAGGGAGGGAGGGAAGAAGAGACAGAAGGAATAGCCAGGCAATGGTGGCACATGCCCTTAATCCCATCACTCAGGAGGCAAAGCCAGGCAAGTCACTATGAGTTCAGGAGGCCAGAAGAACAGCCAGAGCTGTTACAGAGAAACCCTGTTCAAAAGAAAAAATGGTTCTTCTTTTGGTTCAACAGTTAAGAGCTGACATGCCAGGCTGTCCTGGCTGAAGAAACTCCCTTGTGAAACTGATCTGATCCCTTCCCTTTGCAGCAAAGTTCCCCTCGTCCTACTCATACAAAGAAGCAGTCAAAAGGTCTCACCTTGGAGCTGGAGAGATGGCTCAGAGGTTAAGAGCACTGGCTGCTCTTCCAGAGGTCCCGAGTTCAATTCCCAGCAACCACATGGTGGCTCACAACCATTTGTAATGAGACCTGGTGCCTTCCTTGCCAGCAGTACATTGTATGCTTAATAAAAACATAAATCTTAAAAAAAGCAAAAAAAAAAAAAAGGGTCTCACCTTAACCCAAGATTCTCAGAAGCTAAGGCAGGAAGAACGTAAGGCCAAAAGGCCTACCAACCAAGTTCAAGGCTAGGAAGGTCTGACGAAACAAGGAGGGAAGGAAAAGACAAACACGCAGACAAGCTGTGCAGTCTTTAATTCCAACAGTCAGAGGCAGGAGCATCTCTTTGAGGCCAGTCTAGTCGGCACATAAGTTCCAGGCTAGCCAGGGTTACACGACGAGACATTATCTCAAAAATAAAAGTAAAGCAAAGCAACCTAAGTTCTTAGCCTTGGTTTCATCCTTGGAAAAAGACCACAGGTCTACAGTTTCTCACGGTGTTTCCATGAACAGATTTTCATGCAGTGTTCCATGAATACTACAGATCCTTGAGTAGATCTAAACATTTCACATCCCTCCATTTCACCTTGCTCTTACATGGGTTCAAATCCACCGAAAAGCTGTCACTCATCTCGTGCTTACTGTCTATTTATAATAGGATCACTACTTCGTGCATTTCCTCTTGGTGCATCTCAAGCATCCAAACTCTGTAAATTAAGCTGGACATGGCGCATACCTTTAATCCCAGCATTCGGAGGCAGAAGCAGCCGGTAAGTCAAGAACAACATGGTCTACAAAGCGAGTTTCAGGACAGACAGTTTACACAAAGAAACCCTTTGTTGAAAAACTAAAAAACAGTCGGGCGGTGGTGGCACACGCCTTTAATCCCAGCACTGGAGGCAGAGGCAGGCGGAACTCTGTGAGTTCGAGGTCAGCCTGGTCTACAAGAGCTAGTTCCAGGCTAGGCTCCAAAAGCTACAGAGCAAACTGTCTAGAAAAACTAAAAAGAAAGGAAAAAAAGAAAAACCTAAAATAAAACAACAAAGTCTGTAAAGTAAACGACATCCTGCTATGTTCACATGCTAACACATTCTGTACCTCAGCACCAGGAGGGTGAGGCAAGAGAAAGTTCAAAGCCATTCTCTCCTACACAAGGGCTACATAGAACCTGTCCCAAACAAAATAAGGCTACCAGGATCATGTATGTAGAAAATCGCAGAGCCTGACCAAAGCCTACGTTTGCTTTATTCCACTACCTAAAGCTCCACGCACAGTGGAAATTGGCAGGGGAGGATGTTCACTCCTCCTACAGATAGTGAAAGTAGCCTCTCCCTACACTCATTCAATTCTTCTCTTGCAAAAATAAAACAATAAAATCCTAACCTTCATTACCGAGAAATTTATCGTCGAGTCTCAGGCTACTTTGCGATCAAGGATAAGGCCAATAACAAATATACCAGAAGAACCAAGCACCACCAATACAATGCTCGCAGCGGGACCTAGCGCTCGCTCATCTCATGTTGTCAGGCACATGACCTGGACCACGCGGGACCCACGCCTGCCGTCGCTGCAAGACTCGCTAGTCAGACATGTTGGGAGGAGACGCCGAGGCCTCAAGCTTTGGAAAGGGGGGCAGAAAGGCTTCGCGGATATTAGACTGATAGACCCTAGACCGTTCCTCCTTGCCTCCTAAGCATATCAAGGCCTAGATTCTTGGAGTCGACCCACCCCGGTCCGCGACCAAACCCAGGACTCACAGCGCCTGTAGCTTTTGCAAATTTGTTGGCCACCTCCGAAAGTTGGTTATCACGCAGAAAGCCGAGCACGAGGGGATAAAGGTCGCTAGGAACCACGCGGCGCAAGCCGGTATCCGCCATACTCCCGGTAGTACGCGTCACTACCGTCGCGCACGCTGCACGACTTAGGAACTCCAAAGTACGACCAGGGCAGGGGGCGGGCCCGGTGTCGTCATCACGTCGCGCGGCGCACAGCGGAAGCGTGGGGCTCGCCAAGGCGACTCCCCATCAACCTCGGAGGCGGGATCCAGGCGACGACGTCCATAAGGTCTTTCCGGTCTCACGTGCGTCGCCATCCTGTTAAAGGCGGAGCCCGCGGGCCGCCCATTACGAAGGCGGAGCGTTTGCGTCAGAGGTCACGCTCCCTTCTGTGGCGGGAAAACTTGCGACTTCCCGCGCATTATCTTTGCTGAATGAATCTTCTCTATAGCAGTTGTCCCAGCACCGGCTGCTACCCAGACCCCACAATAATGAATGGACTGCAGTACTCCGACTTCTTCCACCTTTCTAGGTGTCCCCTACTAGTCACATTCCCACTGACAATGGCTTCTCTCCTGCCTTCTATCACCTTCACACCCAGTGATATCATCAGGCTCAAATCATAAGAGGATTCTTAAAAGTTGCTCATTGTGGTGACAATGGTGTTAATACCCCTAAACTGCCTGTCAATCATACTTAGGTTACACAATTTCATGGAGTGGGGAGGGACAGCTGTTTTAAGAAAAAGAGATCATGTATCATGTATGAAACCTGAATCAAACAGCAATACTCTATTAGTCCTAAAAATAATGCTTTCTTCGTTAAGTCAGAAGTCACTGAATTCTGTCTAACTCTAGTCAATCAGCCATTTCCGGGTTACACTAGTCTTCCCTCGGTAAGCAGTTAAGATCCATTTCCTGTGGACGCCCTTTTTCTTTCCTCAAAACAGGTATGCCTTTCTCCTCAAGAGAACCATTATGTCCCTCTTTTCCAGAGATGGTTCTAACCATATATATGCATTAAAAAAAGAAAAGTAATTTGAGCCGGGTGGTGGTGGCCCATGCCTTTAATCCTAGCACTCGGGAGGCAGAGGCAGGCGGATTGCTGAGTTCGAGTCAGCCTGGTCTACAAGAGCTAGCTCTGGGCTGGAGAGATGGCTCAGTGGTTAAGAGCACTGGCTGCTCTTCCAAAGGTCCTGAGTTCAATTCCCCGCAACCACATGGTGGCTCACAACCATCTCTAATGAGATCTGGTGCCCTCTTCTGGCCTACAGGTATACATGCAGACAGAATACTGAGACTACTGTATACATAAATCTGTATAAATACATAAACACTGTATGCATAATACATAAATGTATACATAATAAATCTTTTAAAAAGAGCTAGTTCCAGAATAGGCTCCAAAACTACAGAGAAATCAAGTCTCAAAAAACCTTTTAAAACCCACACACATGTAATCCCAGAGACAGGCTTTTTCTGGCTGTCTTGGAACTCTCTATAGACCAGACTCCCTGTCTCTGTATCCTGATTAAAGGTATCATACAACTACTGACTACTGTCACTCTGGTTTAATAAAAAGCTAAATGGCCAATAGCTAGGCAGGATTTCCAGGCACAGAGGATACTAGGAAGGGTGGAGACAGAGTATGCAAGAAAGCAAGATGAACAGTATGTAGATGAGTTAAACAAGCCTCAGGGCAGCACATAAATTAATAAAACTGGGTTATTATAAGAGCTAGTTAAAAACAAGCCTAAATTATCCGCCAAACTTTTGCAATAATTAAGAAGCCTCTGTGTTGTGATTTGGGAGCTGGCTGGTGGGATGGTAAAGATTCCAGACTAGGCTAACTAGTGAGCTTCAGGACAATGAGGTGGTCAGCATTCCTGAGGGTTACACAAGAAGCTGTCCTGTTGCCTCCATACACACATATACCCACATACAGAAAATAGGGCTTTCCTCAGATTCACAATGCTCCGGGTTCACTTCCTAGTACCACAAAACAAGATGTTCTAACATGTCTGTTATCCCAGCACTTAGGAGGGGACAGACTAGGACACACAGACTGCCCAGGTATAAGTATTTCAAATGTCTTTGAGAAGTGTTTTTCCCTTTTTGACTTATGTGACAGACTTGAGAAACCAAGTTAAATCCAATGTGATTTTTTTTTTTATTTATTATGTATACAGTGTTTTGCCTGCAATCCAGAAGAGGGCACCAGATCTCATTACAGATGGTTGTAAGTCGCCACGTGGTTGCTGGGAATTGAACTCAGGACCTTAGGAAGATCAGGCAGTGCTCTTAACCCCCCGAGCCATCAATCTATCCAGCCCAAATCCAACGTGATTTTTTTTTTCAGGTGGAAGAACAGCAACCTTTATTTTGCCCAGCAACCTTTTATACCTCTACTACTTCTGTGTCCAATGTGATTTTATACCTAACCAGAAGAGGGCTCCTAGGAACTTGGTGAAGGTAAGCACGACCCTAAATGTGTTCATAAAAGTACTAAGTACATGTGACATTAGCGCACACACAAAAGGAAGAACAACACTTGGAAGTTCTCCACAGTTCATGTTTATTACCTAGAAATGCAAGTTAATTGTTCAGCATCTGTTATGTAAAAAAATAAATACCACTTTAAAAAATCCCAGTTTTAACACATTTTTATTTAACTTTTTTCCATTTATTTATAAAAGTCATTTCCACACTAGCAGCTCTCCCCCTAGAGTGGGGGAGGGGAGTGGAGGAGGCTGAGCACCTCCAGAGAAAATGGGTGGGGGAGGAGTGCCCAGGGTTACCTCCTCAGGTTCTTCTGGGCCTGTTTCAACAATGTATCAAAGTCAAGAGAATCAAATTTGCTCTTCACTGGAGCAGGATCAAAGTCTTCCCGATTGGAGTCTACAGAGCAAAGAGGAACAAACATTTAGGTCTCTTACCACAGTTCTCAAGCACAGGGTTTTCAAATGGAGTCATGGCTCATACCAGTAGATGGAGTCAAACTACCCTGCTTGTACAGGTGTGGGAGAATACACTCCCTCTTACCACACCCCTTTAGGGTCTTTGTATGTCAGATGGTAAGTCACCTAGCTCTACTCTCAAATGTTTGAGAAACTGGGCGGTGGTGGCACAGGCCTTTATTCCCAGCACTAAGGAGGCAGAGGAAGGTGGATGGATCTCTGTGAGTTTGAGGCCAGCCTGGTCTACAGGAGCTAGTTCCAGAACAGGCTCCAAACGGTTACAGAGAAACCCTGGGAAGGGGATGACACATGTCCAGGTCTCAAGCCCTCCTCCAACACTCACCAAGATCAGAGTAACTCCTCTTGCAGAACTGCCTGCGGCCCCCAAAGCAGAGATCAAAGGGCTGTTCATCTGCCTGCCGCAACTTGTGGCCACTCTCGATGGCTGCAAATGCCTCTTCAGCATAACGGTAAGTGACGAAACCATAGTTGTCACTAATGGGGAGGGTGAGCCATTTGTGCACAGGTTATGAAGCAGACTCGGCACCCCAGAGTACACAGGTGCTTCTTCTCATTTCCCCAATGGTCAACCCTCTGATCTTAAAAAAAATAAAGGTGACCCCACCTAGTCCAGCACAACAGAACACAGAAAGACAGGAGCATCAAGAGATATGAACGTAACAGAACGAACATCCTACCCTCATAAAGAGCAAGCTTACCCTTGGACACGAAAATGAATGGTGCACTCCTCAATCTCTCCAAAAACAGAGAATCTCTGTTTCAGCTCTGACCGAGTCATGCGGCCAGGTATCTTCCCAATGAAGACCACCCTTCTCTCTTCCTATGTCAGACAAGGAAAAAGTCACTCTGGGAGCCAGAGCTGCAGCTGCTGATGAGTGCGCTCTTGGAACAGGTCAACCCCTCCTCCCATGTCTGGCTTCTCTACTCACTATTGCACGCTCCTTCTGCAGCACTCTCTGCCTTTGGTAATGATCATTTGAACGGTAAGAGCTGTACCTGACAAGAGAAATTTCATCAGCCCCCAGACACAATTCAAGAGTCAGAACTCTCAGACACGTGCATCCTAGATGCACTGCCCTCAAACATTTGCTCATGCTCACCGCCGCCTTCGGTCACTTCTGTGAGGGGACAGAGAGGGAGAACGGCTTCTGGAACTGGATGATGAGGATGAAGAAGAGGAAGAAGATGATGAAGAGGATGAACACCTTCTCGAACGTCCAGAGGAACTGCAGCTGGACCTGGAATAAAGGACATAAGAATGATGGGAATGATGCAGATAAGTTTCACTACCTCAGCCAGGCTCAGACTTGCCTCCCTGGCTCAGGACAACCAATAAAGGAGAGCAGAAGCATTCCAAGTTTTCTTTGCAGATGACAGATGGGAAAACACTTCATAAAATTTTATATACATTAAGTAATTTTACATGGCATTTTTATTACCCCTTTTCTTGAGAAGGGGTCTCACTAGGCAGCCCAAGCTGGCCTTGAACTAGTTAGTGATTCTCCTACCTCTGCCTTGCCAGCTCTGGAATTGTGCTACTGTACCCAGCACACATACTTATTTGTGGTACTGAGGATTATACCTAGGGCCGTCACAGACTTGACACAGCTGTTACTACTGAGCTTCATTTACCAGGTTTTCACTGAAAATGGGAGAACACTGAACTCAGAAAGAAAAAGAGGCACTTAGGAGACGGAGAGCTAGCTAAGCCTGGTTTGGACAGCGACTTTATCGCAGTGCTGGAGCAGGATACCAGAGACTGAGTTCTAACTGTAACCCCCTCCCTCACCATCTCAGAGCAATGCTGTAACTAAGGTAAGCGAGTGAGAAAGGAGGTTACCATGCCAGAACTACCATTCACAGTCATTTTTGGAGACAGGCACTCCAAAACAGTGCCTGACAAAGTGGCCCCAAACTCTGTATGTTGCCAAGGATAATTTAACTTGTGATCTTTCTGCCTCCATCTCCTCAGTGCTAGGATTCCAGGCATGTAACACGTGTGTAGTTTACATGGTGTTGGGAATCAAATCCAGGGCTTCATGCGTGCTAGGCAGGCACTCTACTGAGCTACAACTGCAGCACCACCCCACGAGAATTCTTTTCCTTTGTTTTTACATTAATTTGTTGTGTGTGAGTTGTGCCACAGCATACACACAGAGGTCAGAGGACGACTTTTAAGAATTATTTTTCTCACTCCACCGTGTGGTCTCAGGATCAAACTCAGGTCACCAAGCATGCATCTTTACCTAGTGAGCCATATCACCAGCACTTAAAGGTAACCCACTATCCTGCATTAACACCAAGAAAACACCTTGTATGAGCACCAATAATAACAGTATTACGTAATCACAGTCAAGATCAAACTAACAGTCTACCCAAGGCACATCTCAAGAAAGCAGAAAATTTCAGTACCATTCCAGACTCCAACACAGGATAGCCCCACATCTTGCCTCTAACAGGCCACAAAAAAAGAAGACAAAAGCCAAAGACAGAACCTTCAGCCTTAGAGACTGGAAAGTATACTAGTTAAACCATAGCCTTTTCAAAGTAAACTACAAAAGAGTTCATGAGCTTCCCAAATGGAAAGAATCTAAGAGGCCAACAAAGCTCACCTTCGCCATCTCTTGTGGGGGGGGGAGAGGGACCTGGACCGGGACCGGGATGAGGAAGACACCGATGAAGATGAGGACGCTTCGCTGGTCCGGTTGGACCCAGAGCTGACAGAGCGGCTGCTGCGGCCACGACGGCCCTGCCAACCCCGACCTGGGGGGCTGACTGATCTGCAGGCTTTTCGGTAACAGCGCATTGACCGCTGCTTGCCTGGGGGCTCAGAGGGAGTCCTAGTGTTCATGTCTTTCCGGCAGGGTGAGGCCTCAGGAGACAGCAAGGTGGACGGGGCAAGACAAGGCGCTGAAGGTTCTGCCTGCTCACTGCTAGTCCTGTGATCAAGTGGCTTCTGGGAAGTCGTGCATGGAAGTAGGGGAGCAGCTGGGCCCAATGACAAGACAGGTTTGATGGTGATGTCCTGATGGCGCTTGACATTCCATCGGGAGCCCACCTCTGGAATGACTAGGGCAGGCATCTTTTTTGGGGGTGTCCTGCTTCGGACACAATAATCATGGTCCCCAGAGCCCACATGGACAGGACTAGGGCCATGGACCCTTTCTTGGAGGCAGGCTGCAGCTGGATGTTTGGCCTCTGTAACTCCTTCAGGCTTCAGGGTTCCCTCCTGGGCGGTAGATTTAGGAGATTTGGCCAACAGTGAGACAGCAGCCAGGGGCTTCCATAACTGGTGGGGAGGGGTAGCTGGAGGGGTGAGCCCTGTGGGGGAGGGAGGATGGAGATAGCAGGGTGAGATCCAGTTCTATACTCTAGATTCTGTGTACCTAGGCTCGAGATCCCACTTCTCAGAGTACGCTAGGCATCAACAACAGCCCCACTTCTCTCACTGCTGGAACTAAAGATCAGCCACTCAACTACCTAAAACTACCTAGTGACCAGGCTCTATCTCATGTACCATTTTCATGCTTAAATCCACCCCTCTAAATAGCATTATCTAATGTCTACGTTGTACCTTGCCTAGGCTCACGCCATAAACTTACCTACTTCCCTTCCAGCTCCATACCTATTATCTAGATCCTTGCTAGACAAACCATTCAAAAACCAGGCTGAGAATGCTTCTTCAATTCTTTCTTCAGGACATACACAGGATGAAGTCCAACCAGCTTAATATAGCATTCACACTCCATAATCGGACCTCTTATTTAGTTACTCAGCCTTAACTTTTGCTTTTGCTCTGTCCACTACCGTAATCAGTCTCTACTCTCCCGATCAAACCACACCACTTACAGTGCTGCAAAAACGTAACAAGCTAGTTGCTTCCGTACTTCAGTCAGGTTGCTCATTTCCCTAAAAGCTTCCATCTGACTGAGAGCCGTGATTGTTCTCAAGCCTCAGCTCAGTGATAACACTCTACATACCCCATCCCCCACTACCCCTCACAGCCTACTGAATACATCACCTCTGATAATCAACATGCTCAGATGTTTACACATCTGCCCCCTTGACTATGAACACAACCACAAAGGTCAGATGTCTGTATCCCATTGTCTACACATGGTGTGCAGCAGGTACTGCACACGTGCTGCACAGACTAAGAGCCAGAGTTCAGCCTGAACCCACCTGCCACGTTGGCCAGTTCTGGGGCTTGTAACCGGTCTAGGGGTCTCTTCTCCTGGGGAGTGTCAATGCTGCTGGCAGGGGGGGAAAAGGGAAAACCTGGTTCATTGCCTCAATATCTTGTATAACTGCTCTCCTCACAAAGCAATGAAAAAGGTGTAGCAGAGAAAAACGGGATGCCCAAACTGCCCCATGGTCATTTTCTAGCACAAAAGGACCATAATGACCATGCTGTAGACTGGGCCTATTCTGCCAAATCTGGGGAGGCAGGCTGGCTAGGAGCTTCAGTGAGTCCCCCCACCTCCTTCAATGAGGAGCCTTGCCTACCAAACTCTTAACTGAAGTCAGTGTGGAATGTGAACAATGATGCCTCTCATTCTTAGAATACCAGGTAGTAAAAAGGTTCAGGTGCCTGTGTCCTTAAGGGAGTTAGGGGAAGCCCCAGCGATCCCCCCACAACTTTGAATGACCCCATCACCAGCACTGAAAAAGCCCAAAGCCTGACAACAGAGGGGAAGAAATCCAGAAGACATAATTTGCCAAATTACAAATTATAAGAGGCATCCCCAAGGCATTTGGAATTCCTGGTAGTACATACCCTCCCCAACCTTATCACCCAAGACACAGTCTGGTGGTAAAAGAGCAGGGGACAGAAATGGGGAAGACACTAGAGTCGATGAAACATCTCTGCCACAAGTGTCCAGTTGGAGTCCTGGAGTGCTGGCCGGCTGCTGACCAACAGCTGTAGGGTAACTCGCTCACACCTCCATACTTACCCTGAGTTTCCTACAGCCAAGCTGTCAGCAGGAGCCGGGAGAGGACACTCCTTTTTGGCTGTAAAGAAATCATATTAGTTAAAAGCCCAACCAGATGTTCCAAACTGAGGTGGCATAGAAGTGCATTCTGATACCCAGAGGAAGAAGCCAGCCTTGCCTACACATCCCCTGCTAAGCTCAGATCCAGTTCCTCCAGTGCTATGTAGATAATGACATTTAGTTATTTCTCTTCTGCTCAGAAATAAACCATCCCCCACTAATTCTGAGTCAGAGTCCAAACTGATGAGCCTAGTAGTCAAGGTTCAACATGATCTACCTACCTAATGTCCCAGCTATAAACTGGAAAAGGGTCTCATTATGGAGCCCAACAGGTCTAGAACTCCCCACATAAACCAGGCTGGCCTTGAGCTCAGAGATCTGCTTCCCAGTGCTCGGATCAAAGGCACACACCACACTTGATACTAGACTTGTCTAGCAAATGAATCTAAGACCATGCACAGGCTAAGCATAGGTTCTCCCACAAAACTCCATCTCTAACACAGAGCCTACCTGTCACGCTGTTCTGTTTATAACCTGCAGATATATTACCAACTCAAATTATCTGTGCAGATTCTCTTCCCAATTCTACCATGAGCTCCTCTCGAAGACAATCAGTAATCTAATCTCCACAGTACCTAGCTTCAGAAAGTCAAGCTCTTCATTGCCTTCCAAAAGCATCGTATAGGAAGCATCTTTACCACTTTCTGCCTTATATAACACATATGAAATCCCACCTCTCAAAGCTCAAGTAGAGCTGCCTCCCTCTAAAAAAACAATCACCATACAATCCCAACCTTCCAACACTCTCTCCATATCTACTCTTTCAATTACTTATGCTATCCCACCATGTCCCTTAGATTTCTCTCCCAGGAGAAATGCTGCCTCCCTGTGCCAATGAGGAAGGAGGCTCTCCTGGTGTTTGAGATTGCCCCCTACTCTTTCTCTATCTCAGTTCAAGGTACTATAAGACTAAACCAAAAGGAAGCGTAAACAAAAATAAAAGTTGAAACAAAACAACCTAGGTGCTCTCACCTTCTGATTTCTCAAACTGCTCCAACAGACTGGACAGGTCTGATGCTTCAATTCCTGTGAAGGAATACAAGAGGATTAGGATCCAGCCTAATCAACTGAGTTCACAGGTCTTAGAAGTCCCAGTTCTCCCTTTCCATGCCTCCCTGTCCACCAAAGTAAATGAACCAAGGGAGCAGCACGCAGCAAGGATTCCAATACAACTAGAGCTCCGTATCCCAGAACACTCCCAAAGAAATCCAATAAAAGGCAGCCTTGTGGAAGGCACTCCTGGCCAGTGAACAACACTTGTAGCCAACCCCTGTACCTTTCTCAAACCAACTGCATTCTGTCACTCACCAATCTCACTGATGAATGCCTGTACCACGTCCTCAGGCCCCTGAGAACGTGGAGTAGGCAGGAAGGACAGCTTCCTTAGACGGGCTGGATGGACAGCAGGCAGCTTTGGGGCAGTACTCTGCCTTGGTATGGCACCAGCCTTGACAGTTGCAGAGAGGGGCTTCTCCTTTGCTCTGTTCTCCTGAGCCTCAGGCTTTAGCCTCTCTGATGCAGACTCCCCAACAGCTACACACTCAGTAGACAGACATGGTGGAGTCTTGACCTGGAGACTTTGTACCAGGGTAGACACTTTGTGTTTTGACTGGGGAGACACAGGCACTGGCTGAACCTCTAGTTTCGTAGGCTCGACTGGTGGAGCTATGGGGCTGTCTGGCCCAGAACTTAGGGAAGGAGTCACTGGCACAGGAAGTTCATCTTCAGGAGAACCAGCTGGATTACTACTAGGTTCCACATTGGACGGGGGATTACTACTAGGTTCCACATTGGACGGGGGAACAGGTCTTCCAGCAGATGCTGAAGACAAAGGAGGTGGAGAAACAGTAGACCAGAACGGAGGCTGTTGTGGCCCAGGGCCCCATCCCATGTGCCCATAGGTACAGCTGGAGTTGTAAGGTGAAACTGGGGCAGGAGTGGGTACCCAAGGCACATTACAAGTTGGGGGTACAGCATAGGTACCAGGAGTACCAGACACCATGGGCACCGTTGGTTGTGGGGGCAGACAAGGATAGCCAGAAGGGGACACAGAGGGATAACAAGGCCAGGGTGGCACAGGGGCATAATGCGTATAGGGATCAGGTGGTATTTGTCTCATGGACACTGCAAGTCCAGGTGGTTGCAAGGGAGGTGGGGGTAGACTGGGGACTCCATGGCCACTTGAAGGAAGAGGAAGCAAAGGAGGTATGCCTGGAGGGAAAGGCAAAGGAGTGGGCACTGTGGAAGGGATGGGCCCAGCAGGAGTCACAGACTGCAAGGTAGGAAGGGGCGGTCTAACTGGAAGTGGCTTCTCATGAGATGGCACCTGTTCCGAGTGAACTGAAGCCATAGGTTTGCTTGCAGATGGCTCGGGACTAGGGGAAGCAGGGTTGGTACCCACAGACACAAAACAAGTCTCTGGGGTAGCTACAGAGCTTCTCTGTGGAGCTGTCTTCTTGGCTGGGGCTGGTGGAACAAGACAAGGGATATCTGCCAGCCCTGTAGGGGTCTCTGGGAGACTAGGCCACTTGCCAGCGGGGGGCTGAGAATTCCTGCCTTCTGCTTCTGTTTGCCGTTGCTGCCTTCGCTGCCGGTACTCAGACAGGCTGAGAGGTCGAGGTCTGGCTTCTTGGGTTGTAGCACTGGTGCTACCTTCCACCTTCAGGGGACCTACAACAGCCTTGACCTCAGGGTTGATGGCCTTGGGGTGGGCTGAAGAATCTAGGGAAAGTCGAGTCCCCTGAGCTGCTGCTACTGCAGCACGTCTAGGGTCGGTTGGTCTGTGCTTAACTAGCACAGGGTCTACTGGAGCCAGGTCATGTGGAATAGAGTCAACTGTCACTGTGTTAGCTGGAACAGCACCAGCTGGAGACAAGTTATCTGAAGTGGGAATAGACACTGCAGGTTCAATTCCTGTCCTGCCAGTCAGCACTGGGTCAGTCAGCACTGGGCCTACTGGGAGAGGACCAACCAGTTCTGTACTAGCTGAAGCCTGGTCAACAGGTATACAATCAGCTATAGCATGCTTAACTGTAGCTGCATCAGCTTCAATAGAGTCAACTGGCATGGGGTCAGCTTGGCTAGTATTAACCAGCTTAGGGACAAGGTCAAGGGCATCTTCTTCAGCAGAGCTATCCTGTCCTGTACTTCTCTCTAAGTTCTCAGACTCAGTCTTCTCCAAGGCAGCTGCCCAGGCCCGAGCCCACGCCCGTGGCTTCCCCCTGCTCTGAGGAGCCTCAGCCTCTCTCTGAAGTTCTTCCTGAGGCTGTTTCTCTAAGTGGCCTGCCTGAGAGTTCACCTCTGTAGCCACAGTAGACTGTCCACGAGAAGATGATCTTAGCCTCCTGGTATAGCCTTCCAAACAGGCTGCTGGCTGTTCCTTGCTCTTCTTCTTCCTGCCCTTTCTGGGAACTCTCTGAGAACCCTGAATTACACTGGCAGGTAGGTTCTGAAGCTCCTTGGGTGCCAAGGCCTCCATGATCTCCCTGGGCTCCAATAAGCAGGCAGAGTTCAATGATAATTCTTCTTGATCAGGGCAAGGGGCAATCTTAGGCACAGCCGCTTCCATCCTGGCCTCCATGGTGGGCATGAGTAGCTGCAAGGCAGGACTGGCCCCTGCAGACTCATCCAAGAGCAGAGATTGGGATCCAGAAGGGATCTGACGCACCACAACCGGGATCTCCAGGTCATCGCCAGCTGTGGCTGCCTGGCCCACTATCTCCAGCACCACACAACCCTCAGGCGCTGTCACATCATCCACCTGTTCCTGCAGCTCATCCTCAAGTGATGCCAAGTGTGTGAGGTTGGGCAAGCAGTATGGATGCATGGCGCGTACTAGCTCACTTAGGGAGGAGATGCTCTCATCAGCAGGTGTTGACACTGCCACCTCTGCTGTTGTTGGCTTGTCTTCTTCCTCTGGGCATGCCAGGTGCATGGGGAAGTCCAAGCTGTTCACAGAGTTGTCCAGTTCTCCAGCAAGCATCTGACCACTGAAGCTGGCGACCTCCTCCTCCTCTTCTCCATCACTGCGCTGCTGTGGGACAGGGGACTGACCCCATCGAGGTCTTGGTCTTGAGGGTCTCCAGCTAGGTAGCTTAGGGGAAGAGGTTTCCAAGAAAGGAGGTGGAGAAAAGTCCCAAGGAGAATCGGCAAGCGACATCTCAACCTGCAGGAGAGAAGAGTAGGTTCAAAAGGCATTCCTCAAGACATGCTTTCCAGACCGTCCCTATGTCCTCCCCAAACCGTGAGTTCATGAGGGTCCCCAGGTCGGGCTTACCCCACTCATCCTACTACTGCCTGTGCTAGGCCCCAAAGGGTCAATTGGAGTGATTAGGTCACGTTCTGGGGGTGTCCGAGAAAGAGTGAGTAGCTTGTGGAGCTAAGAAGAAGAAAGACACCCCAAATCAGTTTGTGCAGAGTTATATGAAGAGGCTCACAGATGAGGCTGTGACCTCTGTACTAGCCACATCCCATCCTCTCATACTCACAGAGGAACTCTCGCGAGGAGACACAAGCAGCTCTGAATCAGGAATGCTGTCAAACGGGGACAGGTTCTCAGAATCTGCGTTGTCCAAGATCTCCGTCAGAGCTGTGAGCAGCGACATTTCATTCTGGTCCTCCAGAGATAACCTGCTCTGCTCCAGAAAGAAAAGGGGTTCCCCCCAAGATCTCTAATAACCTACTAAGCCACAAAAATAACTAGATGCCAAGAGAATTAACCTCCCAGCAAGAAGAATCTGAGTTCCAGGTAGCATGGACTCCCATCTTTTCCTACCCACTCAACTCTAGTGCTAACAGAGACCTGTTAAACTGACTCTTAGCTTGGGCTTCACACTCTTACATTCAGGTAAGAGGTAAGATGTTCAGAAAACTATCCTGGGCTAGCCCAATATTAGGCTCAAAAGCAGACCAGGACCTCCTGGACATACAGGTCAAAGACCCTGAAAGGAGATAAGCTTTGGAGCATACTCCAAGCTAAAGGCATCCCTTCATGCACCAGTCTGACATTCTGCAGTCTAACGACCCACACAAAACATTTTTCAAAAACTCAGGTTGTGGATCCGATAGGCCAAGGATCTGGGAACAAACCCATGTCTAAAACAACACAGATATTAGGAGACAGAACAGCCCATGCAAAGATCCTGTCTGGAGAACTCCAAGCCTTGCCCCAGTTCACCTCTCCAAGACTTCCAAAATCCTCAATGAGGGAAATGAGGGAGGCATCCATGTAGCTCTGCATGGTCCCCAGTAGTGTCTCATCCTGCAGTATCAGCTCCTCCATTTCCAGGTCTTTATCCCTCAGAGATGGGCCCAGTCGAGAAAGATTAACAAAGCTAGAGTCGTCCCCCTCCTCATGGACCTGAGGCAAAAGAGGGAAAGAGTGAGTCAGAAAGACCCAAGTCCTTTGGAAAACCGCTAGCTAAACCCCATTAAAATCAGATACCCAGCCCTCCACCAATGGGATCAAACAGCAGCATCACCACCATGGTCTAAGATCTGGACTAGCTAGGCAAAGAGGTATAAGCCATAAGCAAAAGCACCAACTAGGTTGGCAGTGTTCTGGGAAGAACAGCGTTCAGGCTCTACCCACAAACAGTGGAGCCATGAGACATTATCAAACTGGGAAGTATGAACATCAGAAAGATCAAGATTGGCCAGCAAGATGGCTCAGTAGGTACAAGTACTTACTTCAAAAGCCTATTGGAATTGAATCCCCAAAACCCACATAGGTGTAGGAGAGAACCAACTCCACAAAGTTGTCCCCTCACTGACCCACACGTACTCCAAAGGACACTTTCATCCACGCTCACTATGATGATGGCAATGATGATAATAATAAAGGTTTTTTGGAAATAGAGAGTTTCTCTATGTAGTCCTGGCTGTCCTGAAACTTGTTTTCAAGAGCAGGCTGGCCTCAAACTCAAAGATCTGCCTGCCTCTGCCTCCCAAGTGCTGGACTTAAAGGTGGAGCTGCTTAAGGTAGTACATACCTGTAACACAAACACTGGAAAAACTGAGGCAGAAGGATTGTATGTGAATTTCAGACCAAACTGATCTATTTAAGAAACCCTGTACCCTGTCATGCAGGGCAGTGGTGGTACACGCCTCTAATCCCAGCACTTGGGGCTCTGTGAATTCGGGGCCAGCCTGGTCTACAGAGCAAGTTCCAGGACAGGCTCCAAAGCTATAGAGAGAAACCTTGTTTCCAAAAACCAAAACCAAAACCAAACAAACAAAAAACCCTACCACAAAGGATAAGTAAACATTTGGTTCAAGATAAGGTTTCTTGTAGCCTTGGCTGTCCTGGAACTAACATAGATAGATAGATAGATGGATGGATGGATGGATGGATGGATGATAGATAGATAGATAGATAGATCGACCTATCGATCGATCCAGGCTGGTCTTGAACTTGGAGGTCGTCCTGTGCCTCCCAAGTGCTGGATTAAAGGCTTTAGCCACCACAGCTGGGCTGAATCTACACCGGGCAAAGGTGGCACACGCCTTTTATCCCAGTATCAAACAAACAAATAAAAAGTACAGAGAAATCCTGTCTTGAAAAAAAAAAAAAAAAGAAAAGAAAAACCTAAGCAACAATAAGGTTTTGGGGGCTCTTGTGTTCCATTTGGACAGAGAAGCTGAGCCATTTCCATGGCCCAGGGTTATGTTAGGGATTTGACAGGATAGGCAGGATGTGGTTGTCAGGAAGTTGAAAGATTGAGAAAAATATTTTTGAGCTGGTGTGAGACGAGATCAGCCTGCGTGAGGGAGGCCTAAAAAGTCCTCTTGAAAGACTAGGATTGGCACTCAGTCCAGAACAGAGGCCTAAGCGGCCTGGGGTGAGTTGTGAGCTAGAAGCTTAACTCCCCTGACTGACTTTTTTTTGTACTTCTCTCCATCTGGTACCTTTTCCACTGACAGCAGATGACTGTTGTTTTGTTTTTTCGAGACAGGGTCTCTCTGTGTAGCTATGGCTGCCCTGGAACTCACTCTGTAGACCAGTTGCCTTGAATACAGAGACAGGACTGCCTCTGCCTCCCGTTGCTGGGAGTAAAGGAGTGAACCACTGCCCACCTAGCAGATAACTTTTTTTTTTCGAGACAGGGTTTCTCTGTAGCTTTAAAACTTGTCCTGGGGAACTAGCTCTTGTAGTCCAGGCTGGCCTCCAACTCAGAGATCTGCCTATCTCTGCCTCCTGAGTGCTAGGAAAAAACTACTCTTCTTAAAAGAGGAATAGATTCCAACTCCTTTGGTGCAAATAATACTCAGGATTGCATCCATGTATTCACTTATATTCTTCTGTGTATGTGCCTATTCCCCCTCCTTACCCATTATGCCTTACAACATCTTATACACAAGATCCACACTCCCTGTTCTTTGGAGCTAGAGACTAAGCCCACTCTAAGACTGTAACTGAGCTACACCAGTAGTCCCAACGGTGAGCCACAATATGTTGACATCAGTTCTAAGGGAAGAAACTCTTCACCACCCCTACCAAATGGGAGCTAGAGAGAGAGCCTGATTCCACAGATGGAGGCCCCACCTAGAATGCCTCTGTGAACTAGCAGTATCTTCAGCTTTGTCATGAAGCAGGACCCGCCCAGACCTGTTAAGTGTCATAGACAGGGAATGGGCAAGGCCCAAAATGGAACTGGTGAGGCCAGAGCCCAACTATGCATATGTGCTCTTGGAAGTATGGTGTAAAGGCCTGAGAGCAGAATTCAACAGACAAACAAGATGCCCTTCTGCAACAAAGGGAGATGAGGAGGTACTTGGACTCCTCCAAAGAAAAAGATCACACCTCTCCAAACACCCAATCCTCTTCAGAGGTGGAGCTGCAGGGCCCAGGGAGGAAAGGCTGGTTGAGAACACTCTAGGAGTCTAGGCCCAAAGCTGTTGTGAAAAGGCAGCAGGTTTTAGGGACTAACCCCTCCCACCTTGGTCTTCAGTCCTGTAATTAGAACCAGAAGCTGAATAGCGCCTGGATCAGCAAACAGTCATAGGTGAGCATAGCTGCCCTGCCTCTTCCCTTCTACAGCCCAGGCCACTAGGCCAAACTGGTCCAGCCCTGTAAACCGTCATGTCCACCTTCTCTCAGCAGGTGCTGGAGGCTAAGATGGAGACATCTCCCTTGAACCACTTCACTCATACACTGCACAATCCCTAGGGAAGAGTTCCCAGGAGGTCCACATCATTCAAAGCTTGTGAGTCCAAGACAAAGCATGCTCCCCACTAACACTCTGAACTCCAGCAGCCTCTCAGTTGGCTTTCTCACACCAAGTTTGCTCATCCAGAATTCAAAGCCAACTTTAATTTTAGTTTTTGAAGACAAAATCTCATGTAGCTCAGGCTGGTTGGTCTTGCACTTGCTATGTAACCAAAGCTATCCTTAAACTGCCCTCCCCCCACAACAGGGTTTGTTTAACAGCTCTGGCTGTTCTGAAACTCACTCTGTAGACTAGGTTGGCCTTGAACTCACAGAGATTCCCCTGCCTCTGTCTCCTCAATGCTGGGATTATAGGTACATGCCACCTCCACCCGGCTAAAACCTTAAACTTTTGATTCTCCTACCTTTAAGCACAGTTGAGGCACTTTATCTAGACACTCTAACATATAGTTGAACCCGAAGCAATTACAACAGTCATTTCTAGGACCATCAAGTCATTTCCTAGGACTGTCATTGGTCTCTTCAAAGGCCACTCTCTGCCGGCTCATCTTCTCCCCGTCCACCCTTCTGGTAGGCGGGTCTCTCAGTTCTTCTCTTAAGCCACATGCCTTTGTTCTTCACGGACCATTCCTCTGATAAAAGCGTCTCACACAGTTCAGTCTTGGGGGTCTCAATTTCAGACGTCTCTTCCATTCATAGACTCTTCAAGTAAGATTACTAGTGATGACTGTACAACCCTAAAGAAACCGCACTTTCCTTCTCTCTGCCACCATCACTCATTATCTGCCCATCCTGAGTTAAACCCAAGACCGCACGGATCACATCTGTGTGGTTTAGCAACACATCTGCACTTAAACATACGGCACCTCGATAACTACAGGGTCGACAGACTATCTAACACATTAGAGCTGAATCTTGGATCCCTACTGTTTCTCCCAGATGGTGATGGGAACAGCACTGGCCACAATAGATGGGACCTCTTATAAGTTGGAGGAAAAGTGTAATTGATCCCAAAGTCATTATCCTCTAGGCCGTTCTGTTGGACCGCGTATTACTGGAAAGCCTGCAACCCAACTTTCGCTTGTGTTTGTGGGTGTGTGTGTGTGCTGTCAAGGACTCTGCTTATCACTCACTGCCAACCTGCTTGAGCATTTTTGGAATCCCACCATGAAAGGCAGGATAAAAATCCTCTTAAGGAGAACTGAAGGAAACACACATAAGAATTCTTCCTGAACCCCATTAAATATTCAACTAATATTTAATAGTTTTCAAACCACGTAAAACTTTTCCTATCTCCATCAAAAATTTCAAAAAGCTTAACACAGACACAACTCACAAGCAGTTGTATCTGTGATGTGAGTTCGGAGGAGCATGCCTTAACCATCTCCTCCAAAAAAAAAAAAAAAAAAAAAAAAGATGCAAGAAAGTGAGAGGACAAATTAAGCTAGTTCCAGGTAAACTGATATTCCCATGACCCTTGAATCACAGACGAAGGGCTTCAGGCAACCAAAACCGCCAGTGTCTTGTGACTCAACCTACTCCGAGCCGGTCAGACAGAAGCATCAACGAACTCATTCCTCCACAGCGCTTCAGCTCAGTCCTCCAACCCTCACCTCACACTCTGACATTTCTAGGAAGCCGCGCTTCGAGAACATCTGGAAAGTCCACCATCCACCGAAGGAAAGCGTTGTAGACCCATTCAAGAGGGGAAAAACTCTCCTAAGGCTCTGAGAAAAGTTGTCTCTAGCAGCCCCTACCTCCAGGCCGGAGGTCCCCAGCACAGGCCAGAGATGGCGGGAGCGGCTGAGACACACCCAGTTCCCGGCAGTGCGGCTACAGCGCGGACACTAGATGCCCGACAGCCTGGGACGGGAGCCACGTGGACATCCCTTCCCCGCCCCCACGTGGACCCGCGCCCCGGGCTCCCCCCGCCCCGGCGGCAAACCCTACCCACGTGGGAGCCCGCGCCGCCTAGGGGGAGGGGGGAGTAGACAAGTTCTCCCGGGAAAATCGTCCCCCCCTCACACCCCACGTGCTCCGAAAAAGGAACTACGGCGCCAAGCTGGTGGAGCTCTCTCCGGCATCCTTAGAAAGGAGTCTTAGCCTTCCAGTTCAATCCCGAATGCCTGCCGCCCCAGCAAGGGTCACGTTTCCGACGCCCGACTCTGTCCCTCAGGCGTCCCCAGGAATCGCCGCAGGGTTCCTACCTCTGCTAGTGGACCCCCCAGCAAACGACTTAGGTCCTCTCAAGCCTACCCAGCTCCCGCAGCATCAGCACGCAAGTGCTTCCTCCCTTTCCTGTGGCGTCCACGTGTCACCGCCCGGCACACGCCGCTTGCTGCCAGCCGCGGGCCGCCAGCCACGCTCTCACCTGCTCCGCGGCGCTCACGGCGCCTACGGTCCCATACGGCGCTTGGCTCCGACTCGTCCAACCGCCGACGCGAACTCCACCGCCAGGGTCAGGACCCGGGCCCCCAGTCGGAGGCGGCGCGACTCGGTCTCTCCGTCCCCGGCGCGCCGCCATCTTGGCCCCTGAACACCCAGCGCTGCTCTGATCGCCGGCGCCGCCTCGCCCAGCCGATTGTGGGAAGGGAACTACATCTCCCGAAGGACACTGCAGAACTACAAGTCCCAGAAGGCCATGCGGCGGACCACTCTTGGACCCTGGAAGAGGACAGGAACTCTGACCTCCCTCGAGGGTTCCTGGGAATAGTAGTCTTTAAAGGAAGATAGGCTGGTCGGAGCCCTTGGAGGGTTGTAGGGCTCAGTTTTGTGGCACTGCCGGAGACCAACTTGCCGAGTACGCAGTAGTAAGGGAGAGAGTTAACATTTGCGTATCACTCTGTTTGTGTTAATTTGTCAAAATGTTAGACCGCTTTCTTTGACGTTCTACCTGCTGCACTTTCCTTTCACCTTAGTTCAAGTCGGCCGCTGTTTTGAAACAGCACCCCCTAGTGGACACTCTCAGTCAAGACTCTTAACCCTCATCTAATCTCATACTGCGGCACTAGAGCAAAATTTTCTCTTAAAAATACCGCATTTTCCACTCTTTCTCTGCAATTACATTGGTTTCTACCAAGCTTCTTTCCTACTGCTCCAGAAATCCTTGCCATCCTCCAAAGACAAGTATTCTTCTTGCCTTTGTGTCTCTGCATGGAACCTTATTTAATGTAGGAAAGCTTTTCTGATTATCCCAGTCAGGACCCTTTTCTGTATTTTCACACTTTCTCACCTCTTCTCCATCTTCCCTCCCCCCCCGCCCCCGACAGGGTTTCATTGTGTAACAGTCTTGATTGTCCTGGAACTCACTCCATAGACCAGGCTGACCTCAAATTCACAGAAATCCACCTGCCTCTGCCTCCTGAGAGCTGGGATTAAGGACGTGCGCCACCACAGCCCGGCCTTCATGCCTATCTTTACTGTTCATTTGTTGTATTTTCCTGTTTGTTTGTTTTAACAATTTATTACAAAACTTTAGATTACTCGAGGGGGCAGGAGACAGAATACCCAGTGATTCAGATTGCTTGCCACTCTTCCAGAGGATATAGCACCCTTGTCAGATAGCTCCCAAGCACCAAACACTACATATCTGATGCCCTCCTTAGACCGGAGTTGGGGGTGGGGTTTACATATACAAGGCATACGCTCATATTTGGAAGCCAATGAGATGGCTCAACCAATAAAGGTACTTTGCCAAAAAGCCTGAGTCCCATCCCCAGAATCCATATGATGGTGTGGTGAAAGGACTGAGAACTGACTCCCTAAAGTTGTCTTTGGACATCCACACCTGTGCACCCACATTGACACCCACATAAACACAAAATGAAGAAATCAATGTAAAAATGTTTTGTTTTTCAAGACAAGGTTTCTCTGTAGCTTTGGAACCTGTCCTGGAACTAGCTAACTCTTGTAGATCAGGCTGGCCTTGAACTCACAAAAATCCGCCTGTCTCTGCCTCCTGAGTGCTGGGATTAAAGGCATGTGCCACCACCGCCCAGCCTGTAAAAATATTTTTTAAAAAAAAAAATTCATTTGAAGTTTAGATAGGTTGCGCAGGCCTTTTATCCCAGCACTCGGGAGGCAGAGACAGGCAGATCTCTGTGAGTTTGAAGCCAGCCTGGTCTACAGAGTGAGTTCCAGGACAGGCTCCAAAGCTACAGAGAAACCCTGTCTTGAAAAACAAAAACAAACAAAAAGATCTAAGTCTCCAGTGTATAGGGAGGAGATGATGTCCTGAGTGAATGTGTATTGTTGACAGGAGTGCAGCCATGTCAAGGACTCCAATGCCCTAAACCCATAGGAATGGCAAGTTCTTCCCCAGTCCCCCAGAGCGTGTTGGTAGTGTGCACAGAAAGTATTGCCCACAGCTTCCTGCTCCCAGATGACTGCAGTTTGAGACTGTGCCCTACAGAGACACTCTACCAAAATTAGTTACCCTGCTTCTTGGTTCAGGGTTAGCTGTGTATAATATATCAGCTGAGTTTCCTGGCTGTGTGTAGGTCTTCATCAGAGTGCATTAGCTCACCCTAAAGCCATGCAGGTCTAAAAGCAAGTGAGAAACATAGGTTTGTCTACAAGCACATTCCCGAAGACTGTGAAGGAAAACCTCAGAGAACACCAAACAACATTGGGAAGATTTTTTCTTTTTTTTCTTCTTTCTTCTTTTGGTTTTTGGAGACAGGGTTTCTGTGTGTAACAGAACTTGTGTCCTGGAACTTGTTTTGTAGATTAGGTTGAGCCAGAACCCACAAAGATCTGCCTACTTCTGCCTCCGGAGTGCTGGGATTAAAGGCATGTGCCACCACACCCTACCTTCTTTTGTTATCTAAATAGGGCCTCGCCCTATAACCCCAGCTGGTCTGGAATTTGCAGCATCCTGGAATAGTGTCTCCAGTCTGGAACTCCAGGTGTGTGTGTCAGCACATCCATTTTTTTTTTTTTTTTTTTTTTGAAGACAGAGTTTCTCTGTGAATAGCCCTAGCTGTCCTGGAACTCGATATTTTAGACCAAACTGGGCTTGAACTCACAGAGATCCAGGTGCCTCTGCCTCCCGAATGCTGGAATTAAAGACTTGTGCTACCACTGCCTGGCCCACACCTACTTTTGTGCCAGGCGGTGATGGCGCACACCTTTAATCCCAACACTCAGGAGGCAGAGGCAGGCAAATCTCTGTGTGTTCAAGACCAGCCTGGTCTACAAGAGCTAGTTCCAGGACAGGCACCAAAGCTACAGAGAAACCCTGTGTCAAAAAACAAAACAACACACACACACACACACACACACACACACACATATATATATATATGTGTGTTGTGTGGATGTTTTTGCATGCATGTTTATACACCAAGTGCCTGGTGCCTTTGACAACCAGATGAGTGAGTTAGATACCCTGGAACTAGAGTTACAGGTAGTGATGAATTTCCCAGTGTCAGTACTAGGAATTGAACCCCTGTCCTCTGGAAGAGGACTAGTGTTCTTAACCCCTAAGCCACCTGTCCAACCCCACCGCTAATCATAGCAACTAAAGTGAGACCTACTGCATGCTAAGTATGTACTCTATCACTGAACTACATCTACAGCCTCCGTAATTTTCCTATCAGCCAGGCTTGAACCTATTTAGCTTTGTCAATAAGAGTAAGCATATCCGGGGCTGGAGAGATGACTCAGAGGTTAAGAGCACTGACTACTCCTCCATAGGTCCTGAGTTCAATTCTCACCTACCACTTGTCTATAATGAGACCTGGTGCCCTCTTCTGGCATGCAGAGGTACATACTGTATACATTTAAAAAAAAAAAAGAGTAAGCATATTCATGTTAGTATAGCCATAGACTCCAT